TATATATAAACAGTCTTTCTTAGAAACTACATCATACTGTACGCATTACTGTACGCATATATACAATTTGTACCACATCGAATATACATAAACTAAACTTATAATATATTAATAAGATTGAGATTTTGACATAAATTTAGATCTCGACATATACATATATGTAAATACGACGTTACACACTGTTTGTACTTACAATTATTTGAACCTCGCAAGATCCTATAGACGCCAGGCTATATGGTGGAAACATCCACCCCATGGAGCACTCATACTACTTTGCTCCAATAAAATACTCAGCTGTGACGCAGTGACTATGACGAATATTACCTTATGTAAATCTGCTCGCCGGGGATTGGCAGCTTGCACGATTTCACTGAAGATGGTCGCGGCTCATCTAAATTATGTGAAAGCAGGTGCAAATAAGGAAATTTTTGTATTCAGTAGGCGGCACTGGGATTCTTTATACTCCAGTATTAACAGGAACAAAATTTCTTCCCTTGTATCTCTGGCCAAGCAATTTAGTTTTAATTCAGATGACGGCGTAGAAGATTGTAGTATTCATTACGAGGGCACATCAGATACCGGTTTGGTTCTGGGACGGTAATGCTGGCAGTGACAGTGGTTGTGGCGGTGACTTCTGTACTGGCAGCGAAGGGATAGGTAATGTGAGGCTGAGATTACGTTCACAAAATTAGGAAGGAGAATTCGTTTACAGGAGACAAAGCGAATTTGGTATCTGTGAGCTAATCTTGTCAAATATTGGATAAGGGGAAGGAGTCAAGCTGCAGACCTGCATTCTATTTGTCGACCACTAGTGACATTCATCGAGATAGAAGTCAAGGCTTGGCTGTCTCATAAGAAATAGGAATCTACAAAAGGCCCATATTAAAACGGCTATACTACCGGAATGGCAGTGAAGGAAGATGAGAAAGTAGCATCAAAGTCACTGAATTCCAGATTCTGTCGGTACAATGATTTGCATCGCCTAAAATCACAGCATAGTTATGGCGATAGTGTCGTCTGCACATACTATCGATGTCCTTATGCAAGAAGACGTATAATTATCCTTGAGTTTCATTTGTTCACCAATGCAAGTGTGCATAGTATTCTACAATTTCGATGACAGACTATGGGCTGAAGTAATTTATGTCTGTTGTAGGGGTTTAAACGACTATCAGCATACAAGTATAGTTTATTTGTATGGAGTCACTCTCCAAAGCCATTTGACCTCTCCCACACCACCTCCTAGTCCTGTTCCAATTTCTAAAATTACAAATATGTTCGGAAGTGTCGGCCAGAGAGAAATACAGGTCCAGTATGGAATAGAACTAGACAAATCAGTTCAGTAAACAAATGGGGCGCGTTCTGATCATCAGTTTCTTCCTTCTTCAACGATCCTGACCAACAAGATGGCGACGACTTTTAAAAAACTCAGCAAAATATGTTGTGAGAATACAGATGCTTTCCGAACGATACGATAGAGTATGCTTTTCCAGCTATTTTATTTTGAAGTCACTCTGACATACAAACTTTGTTACTAGCACATGGCCGCACTAGAACACACGGTGCGTCACGCTATCGTACCCTTAGCATGTTCACAAACCGGGGCCTTACTAAGTTGTTCATGCTTTCTTCGACTAAATGATCGATCGGTTGGATAATCATCGGAATTGATAACAAGCCCACAGCGGTCTGCAGAACATAAAAATAAATAAGGGCTCATGTGCTGAGAAATTCACAGAATTTGACGCATAGTCGTATAAAAATATATATTTCGCCAGGTGAAGAACACAAAGCAACATGAGCCCCAGAGAGTAGGCCTACAACACCGAATCCTTCCGAATGCCTTTGATGTCTATTCAGAGAACAAGTTTGAGCTACAGAAAAGCCGGGTACTTGATATCAAACCTGTAGCTTCTAGCGATGTATAATAATGTCTATTCGTAACTTAAAAAATACGATATCACATAATTAATCGCAATTGCCATTGTCACTGTGACAAAACCTCATACCGTGATCCATTTGTGTGTTGATCCTTTAAGTTTTGGGGCCAATCGGGTGACGGTGAACATAGACGCGGCACACAGGCGGTTGATAAAAACTCCAGGTATGATGACCGATGCAAATGACTACAGAATCAGAAGAACAGCTTGGGTGTGAGTATATGATGTGCAAGCAGGTGGAACGAGCTATAGCTAATAGGCCTATATCGAGGCTCCGGTGTATTCCACAAGCACATACTGGTGTTGACACATGGGCAAGACTCTTGTCCAAAAATCACGCATCAGTGTAAAATGTCGGATTTGACTTAATCAGATGATTCGAAAGACGAAGTATGCTACTGACTTTAGGAAAACATCACCTTATTCAACACATGAAAACCAAGAGTTTTGACATGGGCGATAAATACATCATGATATTGAGGTCAAGTCCTGACATCAGAATATACGAGTGGGTATCTGGACATATTCCAACATACAAATCTTAAACTCACAGGATAAATTCCTGCCACCTCACCTGCCACAGCCCTGTATCAACAACGGCCACAGCCGCCCTTGCGTGTTTGTTTGGATCATCGGAGATCTGTGTTAGCGGATGAAACAATCAGGGAAAGTGGATCAGCAATCAAATCAGTTCGGACTGTCAGGTATACACGAGTCAGTCTTGCAACAACCACATAAAGGGGTAGGAAGTTGTGCAGAAAGCCACTGGTGCCTCACCTCAACAAGAACAACTTATCAAACGACATAACTGACAGGATTACATCAATATGCCGGGGGGTTCGGCCGTGTGATGCATACTAGTGAGATGAGCATATCTGATAGACCTGTTTGATTAAGTAAAAGTAAACTGAACTGGTTCTCAATGAGACGTTCAGCCGGCGACAGAGACATTTACTCTTCATAAATGATCAAGACGATATTGTATCCCAGAGCAAGGATAATTAGCCAAGCAGGAGTAATTGAACCGTCCAAGAAGGTTGTTAAGTGGCGCACGATCAGTGAGCAAAGCGGTTGAAAGTGCCATACTCTTGCTCATATTCTCCCTATCAACACAACCTTCGATGAGGAGTTGGTAGTACTACATAGACTTCACCACAAACAATTTGAGTTTTAATGCCAATGGCGATGACGCATTCGTCCTTGTGTGCACGAGGTGAGGTTGTAAAGGGATCATTGCGGATTCGTTCACAGAATAATTTGCCATTATCATATGTATATATAATCTAGAGCGACACAAAGCTTGTCCCATACTCAGCTCGAAGGCATGAGACGCTCTAAATGTCAATCATTCACCCTATATTCGCATATCATTACCAGGGCGAAAAGCAACAGTATACCACACACACCTTATATGCGACTGCTCCTTTATCGAAGGCGTCAGCTGCCACATACGTGCAGGCGACAGCATATGTTCCTAAATACGCCCACCTGGGCAAGAACGCCTTGAAAGATTCTCCTATCTCATTGGTGTACCCTAAAGCAACAAACATGGGAGGGGATCTCTGTAAGGGGCACAGCAAGTGACATTCTTATCTATCCTTATACCCTTTAGCCGATTAATGCTGGTGTAGTATGCCTGCACGACAATTCAATACGCAAAGCGACTACAAATACGTCGAGAGCACAACATTCAACATATTCGCACTTTTAAAGAGATTTGTCATGTCCATTGATACGTATCACAACTGTGTTTTTTGATATATTTAATCATTCAATGTTATATCGGTGTCAACAGCTTTCTGTATGTACGCGCTCCAAGTGACAGGTGATTGACTTCGCATGACAAATCGTACAAGACGATGCATGCCGCCGCCGCAGTTTCGAGACGATCAGGTTGCAAATAAGATTACAGTGTACTCTCAATTGTGTATAGTGGTAAAGCAGCACTATGCCGATGCCAAAATGCGTACGTGTACTCCAGCCTTTTCACTCTTAGAAAAACATAAATGAACAACTGTGATCTGTCCTTGTACTAGCGATCCTCATCGTGACCATCAGATGCTCATACACACACACTAGTACATAACAAGATTATATACACTAACTAGTACATAACAAGATTATGTACACTAACTAGTACATCACAAGATTATATACACTAACTAGTACATAACAAGATTATATACACTGACTAGTACATAACAAGATTATATACACTGACTAGTACATAACAAGATTATGTACACTAACTAGTACATAATATTTTCGGTTGACCATCCATACCTTATCCATACCCTCTTACACAGTAAGACCAAACTTCCAATTGAAATGAAGTATTTAATTCACACGTGACGAGCTATTGTATTTATAGCGACCTGTGAAACTCCCATGCAGATGGAAAACCAAGCCTATGCATAACGCAATACATCTATTGTAGTTATTTTCTGCTACTTTTTATATATTGAGTCGGGATGCACTTGCAGGGGTTGCACCGCATTGAGACACACTTATGAGCCTAACCGCGCATCGTCCATGTTGTCGATAAGTGGTGAATTCAGCATCGAACGAGCGACATAGACATAATGATGCTTTTGTTACAAATATTGCTATAACTATATATACCGTACAAATAAACAATAAACAGAAGATATATACATACATACATATACACACATATATATATATATATACATACATACATATATATATATATATATAATATACTTAAATATATATATATATATATACATCATATATCTATACATACACGCACACACACACATACATATACATACAAATATATACCTATATATGATATACATATACACACACACACATATATATATACACATATAA